ATTTATAAAGAACCAGGGGTAAATAACTCTCCCCAAGGAGAGTTAGTCTGATCATACGAAAACATTTAACCTTGAATTGCATCGTGGCTCATGCATGCTATCCCAGTACTTGAGAGGAAGAGGGATCTGAAGTTTAAAAATCAGCCTTGGCTACGTAGCCCAAAGTGGGTCCAGGGAACTGAACTCTGGTCCTCTGTAAGAGCAGTGTGTGCTACTAACCGCTGAGCCATCTCTCCAGCCTTATATTTTCTTTTTAGCTAACTTTGTGGTTGCCTTCTTGTCCTGCTGAGCTCTGTGTAAGGTTGTGCTTTGCTTCCTTGAAGCCAGACATATCGTTCTGAGATCCAGCTCATCTCCAGTGAGACCTCCCCTTTCGGAAATGATTGTGGTTATGGCAGTCAGGCAACGTTCTGTTGTTGTATCGGAGAGTAACATTTTTATGCAGGTTTCCTCTTCCACTGGGGAATCAAAATGCCATAATTTCTGAATGGAACTAATAGAAACCAATCAATCACAGCTCTATCAACAATGCCATGATCAGCAACAGATGTTTCTCATGATAGTTAAGTTGGCACAGCATGGGGAGAGGAAATGCCCATTCCTTAGCACTGCCAAGAGTGCTATCAAGGCTGCTTCATCAACAGAACTGCCAGCTCAGGGAGGCACTGTAGCAGGCCTGGGATTTCTGGCTAATAGGAAATTCCCTACACACACTGCATCCTCCATGGGGAACCAGACCGACCCAAGACTTTCTCAGAGGCCCGGAGAAAAGAACAGAGAGAACTTTAGTTCTGTGGACTTGTCCAGAAACACAATTGGCAGGGCTGATCTATGGCTGGAGTCAGAGCCCCAGAGGAGTCAAGGTTTCTAGTGACCCGACTCTCTCCCTTGGGCTGTGGTTATCAGTCCTAAGGCAGTGGTGTGAGGTACCCTGTGCTCTTCGTCAACACTCTCTGGTTTACCTCTCTGCTGACCTTGGCCATTTCCATCCTGCTTAATAGGATATAGGGTACTGTGCTCCTCAATAAACTTTCTTAGTATAATTCATCAGCTTATGTAAGACCTCCTGATCCCAGCTATTGCTTTTGTCTTCTTTTTTTATGGTCTTCTTTATTGCTCATTCCTGGTCCTTCCACACAATACCTCCTCGCCATTAAGGACCCTTATACCTGTAGACTTGGGTCCCCCTTCTTGATTAGCTTCCTTAGGTGTACAGATTTTAGTATGATTATCCTATATTATATGTCTAATATCCACTTATAAGTGAGTATATGCCATGTGTGTCTTTCTGCGTCTGGGATGCCTCACTCAGGATGATCTTTTCTAGATCCCACCATTTGCCTGCCAATTTGATTTCTTTGTTTTTTAGTTGCTGAGTAGCGGCTGGAGAGGTGGCTCAGAGGTTAAGAGCACTGGCTGCTCTTCCAGAGCTCCTGAGTTCAATTTCCAGGAAACCACATGGTGGCTCACAACCATCTGTAGTGAGATCTGGTGCCCTCTTCTGGCATGTAAGCAGAACATCGCATACATAATAAATAAGTAAATCTTAAAAAATAAAATCTTTTAAGCTATATAGAATGCATACACTGAGATTGCCTGTTAAGAAACGTTTCTTTTTGTTGTTGTTGTTTCTGTTTGTTTCTGATTTTCCCTGAGGTGTACGTGAGGATGGTGGATAGAGAGGAGACAGGGGAGGAGCAAAGCAACGGCACCCAGGTTTTCACTGGCGCCAGGTAATTGCTTTCCCACTTGTCCTTCAAACTCTTTAACCCATTAACTGGTCATGTGCATTTACATGTTAGCAGGGTGGAGACCACCACTCTGTCTTGAGACAGAATTTCTCTGTGTATAGCTCAAAATCTCCTGGAACTTCCTCTGTAGACCAGGCTGGCCTTAAACTCAGAGATCCGACTGCTTCTGCCTCTCACGTGCTGGGATCAAAGGCATGCGATACCATGCCCAGCAAAATTGAATATTTTTATGATCAGTTCCCTTCAAATTTACAGTTGAGTAAAAGCTATCTAAGTATCTAAAATGATAAATCTCAGTGTTCTGCGACCTCAAAACATTTTTAACATTGCTTGAATTATGGAGACCACTAATGCATACCCCACTCATATGAAGAAAAAATATTTCAATGAATGTGTGTCAGTTTATTGCATTTTATTCATTTTTTGTTTTATTGAATATTTTATTCAATTTTCCTTTACATCTTTCTACATGTTTTAAAAAAATCTCACAAGTACATCTGTGATGTTAACTTGACAGGCTCTAAATGAATAAGTGGGAGTTTTTATATTAGGGTAATTGATGCAGGCAGATTTACTCTGAATGTGATAAGCACCATCCAGGGGGCTGAGCCCAGCATCCATCTCTCTCTGCTTCCTGACTGTGGATGCCATGTGACCAGCTGCCTCACGCTCCTGCCTCCATGCCTTCCACACTGTGATAGATGGTACCCTCAAAGTGTGAAATATGATCAACCCTTCCTTCTAAAAGTCACACTTGTCAGTTATTTTGCCAGAGCAACAAGAAAAGTAAGGCCCTATCCAAATAATTATCTTTTTGTTGTTGTTGTTGTTGTTTGTTTGTATGTTTTATTTTGTTTTGCTTTGCTTTGTTTTGTGTTTTTCAAGACAAGGTTTCTAGATGCAATAGTCTTGACTGTCCTGGAACTTGCTTTGTATACTAGGCTGGCCTCACAGAGATTACCCTGTCTATGCCTCCAAAGTACTGGGATTAAAAGTGTGTGTAGGAACAAATTACTTGTTAACATTATTTTCTAATTAAAAATTGATGTAATCATTCCCATAAATCCCAGGAACCAGCCATGCGCCCTTTCTTATTTGCTTAAGTTCATGTCTCAGGCATCAGGACACTTATGCTGTTTGACAACTAGGCTAAGTCTTACAGGACACGAAAGGATCGAGAAAATCTTTCTTATTCAGTCTCTCCTACACCGTAATTTTTTCTTATACTTTTCATTTCTAGAAAAACAGATCTCTTTTTTTTTTTTGCATAGCAGTATTATTTTCAAGCCGTCTGATCAGATTGTCACTGCAGACACCACCCTTTGAATAACTGCGTATTAGGAAGCCCATGTACAAGGCTAAAATCTGCTGGTGTTTGTTACTAGGGAAAAAAAGGTCTATTCCAGTTCCTTCCTGCTTGGAAGACAGAATGATCATGCTGTCTCTCTAAATAGTCATTAAATCACTAAAAATGTGAGAAAGTTCTAGAATTGATCACTATTGCAGTATGTCCAGCAATCCTGAGTGCCAGAAACTGGCTGTTTGTCCAAATAGAAGAAGGATAATCCTCCTGGTCACAGTCTACCAGTAGAGTGTCAGTCACTCTGATAATCATGGCATAAGGACCTATGATAGCTACTTGAAAAACACTTGAGGAAAATACTATGGCCATGCTCTTCTAGTGAGTGGAAAAGTCGATATGAGATAGTGAGAAATGCCATCTAGGGTATGAGTACCCTGTGTCAATCCTCATTCTGGGATATAAAAGCTGGGATATGGGATTTTTCATTCACCAAGGTCTGAAAAGTCTCTGAGAATCACGTCTTCTTAGCAACATTGTGATATCCCAGAAACTCATTGTCTTTTCTCCCGGTTGAAGACCCGTGGAGAAATAGAGAAGCCAGTCCCCAAACGCCCATGTGGCTGCTGGGTGAAGGCAATCGGTCTCCTGAGAGAAGCCCTACCTGTTCAGTCAAGATGGAACTAAAGGCAAGTTGAGAAGAGTCATGGCTGAAAGCCACAATCTATGTTCAGCTAATAAAAATCAGAAGGTCACAACAGACAAAGAGAAAATGAACCACAAGCACCATCATAAGCATATTTCATTTCATTTTTCTTTTTTATCACAACACTAACAAATCCGCTTAAAATTTCAGAATTGATGTGGATACCAAAATATTTTCCTAATTGGCTGATACAAGAGGCAGACAAGGTTTATTAAAGCATTTCATAATTATGAGATTTCGCCTGCCAACTGAGGAGGAATTTCAAAGCATTTCATAATTGTGAGATCACCTGCCAACGAAGAAGGAATAAAAAAGAAAGAAAGAAAGAAAGAAAGAAAGAAAGAAAGAAAGAAAGAAAGAAAGAAAGAAAGAAAGAA